ACCTTCACAAGATGGAGCTTTACACACTCAGAGATGCCCTTTCCAGACTCTCAGCCAACCCAGGGATACTAAAAAGTGAGATTTTCTCAGTAGAAATGTATAATATGTTTCAATAGTAACATTAACAAGCATAATTTGCTGTTACAATGCCTAAAATTTGTTAGAAAAACATTTTTAAATATATATGTCTAAGAAGTTTGGGGTCGGTATGATTTTATATTATGTATAATATATAATATTTTTTGAAAGAAGCTTCTTATGCTCAGCAAGCATGAATTTATTTGATCAAAAGTACAGAAAACAGTAATATTGTGAAATATTATTGCGGTTTAATATAACTTTTCTATTTTAATACATTTTAAAATTTAACCATGTCTTTCGATGAACATAGGGTTTAAAAGAACAGCATTTATTTGAAACAGAAATCTTGTAACATAATATTAAACGCATTTACAGTCACTTTTGGTCAATTTAATGCATCCTTGCTGAATAAAAGTATTAATTTCTTTAAAAAAAAAAAAAAGTATACTGTTGACTTTTGAACGGCATTGAAGGACCTTAAATGATGATGACCAAAAAGTCAAACCACACAATCTATGCCAACATTGGAACCAAGAAAAAAGGCTTCAAAGTTTTCAAATAATATGAAATCAATCACATTCACGTTTTCCATCACTTATTTTCGTACTATATGAGCATGCCCTTGAATCTACAACAACAATTCAGTTTAAAACCCATTAGCACTAGCTATAAAGAGAAGATATTCACATATGTGGTGTATTATGCTGTGGAGGTGAGCGTACAAGTGTGTGTGAGTGTATGTAACTGGGTCATGTAGATACCGGTACAGATCAGGCATATTTGCCAGAGTATCTCATATGTCACCTGTATTGTTCCCTTTCACTGTAAGCATTCTCAATGTGCCCCAGGTGAGAGCTCAACGCAGCATGTGAAAACTAGACAACCGGTGGTCACATACACAAATCTGCAAAGCACACACACACAAACCAAACTACACAAGATGAACAAATGAGGACAGAAACAATTAAATACAAATTTCACCAGTCTCTCATTGAGTCATTTCATGAAATTAATTAGTGCTGCTGGATGAACTGATCCTGCTTACCCACAATTCACCCTTCCCCCTCAAATTCTGAGATTTGAGGAGTGATGAAAAACACTGTGAACTGATGTGCCAAAGGCACGATGAGAAGGTTTTTGTCTGTACAAGTCGACATGTCGCCCACCTACGTCTAGAGCACAGATACGGGATTCCTAAGAAATCCCTGATGGGTGAAGGAACTCAATCAACACCCAGCTCTGATGCGCTTTGACTTGGCAAGAGGGTGATATGGGTTCCTGTGGCAACGGTATGCCAAAGAGGGGGAGGAGCTGGTGTTTCAGCCTCAGCCTGGCCTATTTGCGCAAATTGCCAGGGAGAAGTGAGGGCAGGTGATGTCAATGTCCAGTAACCAGGAAGTACTGTATAGCTAACACCAACGTTTTAAAAGGAGACAATGGAAAAGAGAGCTGCTGGGCATAAACCTGTAAAATACTGAGTGCAATCGATAACTGTAATGTAAGCTGTAATGCAGTGGAAAGACATTAAGGAAACTGCAGGCCTTTAAAGCTCATTATCTGCAGCTAAAGCAACACTGTTTTAAGCATTTGGAGCTGGTTTGTAATGGACTGGATGTAATGTCAGGAACATAAATATCTGTGAATTTAACAAGGAGAGTTTGGACAACAAAATGGAAGGGAAGGAAACCCAGTAGAGAGAAGGTGAAGGAAGCAGAGGAACAGCAGGAGGAGGACAATACGAGGAAGGAGAATGAATGAACCCGAAAAAGACGAGAGCGAGTGGCCACAAGATCAGCAGAAGTTCTCCCTGCCACTTGTGACAGATGACCCCCTCAGTAAAAGGCTGGTAATTGAAGGCAGAGATATCCCTATAGATAAGGACCACTTTCGCTGGTGATAATGGGATTGTTGCTAACTTGAGCTAAGGGTGTCGTGGATGATCTGTCCCGGGTCAGACATTCCATAAAGAGGCTGATGGAAGGCTTGTAAATTATTCAGTCTGTTCCTGCCTCACACAACAAAGACGGGTGGCTGTGTCTCAGTAGTGTCTGAGAACCAGCCAAAAGACCAGGCTCCAATTACCTCTTCCGCTAAATGCTACACAGACAACTAACATGACGTTCAAACCCAGCTAACCATTGGCGTAGCATAAGGAGAAGATGTGAGTGCCCAAAAGTGGTGCAATTTCTGAAAACTTTGCATCGGACCACAACATGCAGTTGGGGAACGATTACAGGCCAGAAACCCAACAGAGAAGTGGTAAAGCAACAAACATGACACAACAGCATCTTCTTTAGGGTCTGAGGTTCTGGTTGGTTACTTTTTCCACTAAACAGTTTTGTTGCTGCTACTGCTGCTACTGTTTCTCTGTGGTTCTGTTTGTGTTTGTTGAAGGAGAGGAGGCTTTCTAAATTAGTAAGCATGCTCTCCTTGTTCCAAGCAGAATAAAGCTCCACCTGTGTGGGTAACAGCGGGAGTGAATGTACGGATGAAGCTCATTGGATGTGCATCCCCTCCGTGAAGAGCGTGGGTTTCTTGGGAGACATCTGGCTCCAGCTTTTGCTGCTCAAATTATGTGTCAAGAAACAACTGTCTTCCTAAAAATTTGCCTCATTTGGTTTCTTTTTCAGATACACTGTACCTCTATGCATTCATTTGAGAAAACATTTTACTAAAGATTTGACATCGTAAGGCTCCTTATACCGGTTGTCAATTCTAATTACACCATATATTCTAAAAGAAACAATAATGCTCCAACAAATTAAATATCACATTACAAGCTGGTTTGTGCAAAATTCAGAATTAAATAATTGACATCCTTTTAATTCATAAGTTGGAATTAGAACTGAATTGATATCCTACAGGAAGTCGAACTGGAATGACAATTCAAAGAATTATCTATTTATATGTATTATCTATTTATGTGCCATTCTGTCTATCTGCCTATAAGTCTAAAAAAACATTAAAATTTAATGGACTTCAAAGCCATTTTATTTTTTAAATTTCCAAAACTATTACCAAGAGCTGGTTTAAGAAAATTTGCTTTTCTAATTGAAAATTACACTTAGATGAGCTTCTTTGCTTTTTACTTTATACTCCCATTCAAATTCTGGAACCTATTTTCTATCTCAATTCAAATTCAGGAATTGATTTGGAGTTTTAAACATTCACAATGCACACAACCCTCATTAGACACCTTCGCCTTCTGTACGGTCATCAACTCTGAAAAGCAAACTCTTGCTTTTATTAATTTATGTAACGAGACATGGCAGATGAAGATTGTACTTCTGTGGCTCTCTGGGAAATTAGGCATACCAGAGCTACCATGTCCAAATCGTTGTTATCAAGCGTGTCTGTGTCTATGAAGTCTGACAAAATGTTCAGGTCCAATTAAGTCAGATGCATTGGCCATGAGAAACTGCCCTTTTTGTTGAGACGTACAAGCCCTTGTGCATTTGAATGATAAAGTTAGCATGTGGAGACTAGCAATATTTGCTTAAGCAGTAAATTTAGCATACACCTGGGATGATTTAACAATTTTTAACTTGGCAAATGTTTTCCTTTAGCACACAGGTGGAATAAAAGAGCTGGCGGAGAGACAAAGGGCTTAGGATGTGTTATGATTAGGCAGGTCGCCAAAGCCGTTATGAGGGAATGCAGAGATTAAATTGATTTCCTTCTCACTCTCTCGCCTGACACATTTACAGCGTGAGTTGCCAGTGACAGGAGGGGAAGATTGACCAATGCAGCGACATAATCGATATATGCTGACCTTTCCCTGGGTGTCTAACGACCAAACATACAAAGCACTCCCAACTGCAGCCCCTCAGCTGAAGATTATATAACAGACCAACTCATAATTCCAAGCATGATTAGAATGCTAAGTGAATCTCTGACTATTTTTCCATGACATTGAAACACATAACACAGCAGGATCAAAACAGTCCATTTTGAGACTATTGTAAGAATAATCACAAGTTTGTATGTGTTATATGCCCTATAAAACACACAATAGCATGCAATTGCTAACAATATTACAACCTATAATTTCTTTTAATTTAAAAAGATACAATAAGCAACATTCTCAAAAGAGAACAAAAGGGCCAACACTATTAAAACTCTAATGGAAGCCAGTGAATTGAGCATCACTTGTCCTTTTTGCAGTAAAAGGGCCTATTTCTTCTGAGTGTACAAAATCCAAAATAAGGTGAATGGCAAGGTGAAACACCCAGTTTCATATGGCTGTGCTGTTCTACACTATAATTTAAAAAGATGGCTAGATGTATGACAGGTTGTAACTTAGACATCTAGCAAACTATGTGTCAAACTCGGTTTACAGCTTGCACAATTAAGCATTGATATTTCCTTCTCTGTCATGGGAGCACTACATCTCATGAAGGCAATTTGCAAAATAGCTTGACTTGACGGAAATGGTAAATGTAGGTCTGGATTCAACAGCAGCCAAACATGTTTTGTCTAGAAATGGGAAAACCCCAAGAGCGTGAGAACCCATGAGGAAGGCTGGGAAACAAAAGGCTTTGCTGGGGAGAAGCCGAAACTGACCAGGTCCCGTGTAAATTATGGCCTAGACAACAGATCAGTGGTCTTCAATTTTGCAAGACTACATTTTGGATGTCGCCACACCAACTTAAGGTCTAGAAGCAGCTATATGAGCTGATTATATAAATCAAGAGTGATAAAGGTAGACATCAATAATGTCATAGTGCTGGGCCACTTCAGGACCAGGACTGAGAACCACTGCACTAGATTACTTACACCAGTGTTTCTCAGTTCTGTCTCAGGAGATGTGCTCCATAACCTTGGATGTGAGAGAATGGTAAGACACCCACTGTTGAGGGGCCTCCAGGAGCCAGATTCAAGTGATTACACAATGCCAATAAACTGTGAAATGAACATACCCAATCTTCAAAGTGCATGCTGCCATTCTGCAGCAGGTCTTCAAACTGTATAGTACAGTTGGCCACAAAGTCATCATAGCCAATCGGCGAGTCGTGAAAGACAGACAGTTCGATTTTCTTCCCATCATAAACCTCTGTTACGAACTCATCGTTCCAAGTTGGACTATTCGTCTTCTGCTTGGTAGAAGTTTGGCCCACACGGGAATCGTCCACGTTGAGGGCGATATACGTGTCCAAGAGGAAGGTCTGGGTCTTTGGTCCCACGGCATGCCGGAGCGACCATGCGGTAGGTTTCAGGTCCAAAGCTTCGCAAACCTTGATCTTCAACACTCCATTAAAAACCACCATGATGACGCTCACGTGAGATGCAGCTGGCTTCTCTGCAAGAACAGACGGTTTCAAAAACAGGTTTTGATTCAGGGGGTCGCTATACCCGTGGATGTCATCACGTCATCTGTATACATGCACGTATAGATGGACGCTGTGATGATTTAATCCCCCAAACCACTAGTCGGATCAACCTGATTCTCTCATTTAAGAGGAACAATCAAATAGGATGCAAAAACGCGATATGCAAAACCAGAGGCTCCTGTTTTTATTTACGATCCGTCTTTCCTCGTAATGGGAAGCATACGTAAACAAGCGAATTCCCTACGTCTGGAATAGCGCTGAGTAGAGGTGCGAGTCCAAGAGGCAAAATATCGGCAATAACACAGAGTAAAATATCCCAAATGTGATGGTCTTCAGCGGGGCTTGTCTTGTACTATTCGTTTTCCAATAGGCGTTGATTGGGAGAGGCGTTTGGGATTCCTCCTTCTCCCAGTCTGCTGACGAACCGCTCGGAGACTATTGCCATCCGCTCGCCGAGATATTCAGCTGCTTCGCTTCTTTGTTGATTTGAGAAGGCAAAAGCATTTGAGCTACACGCTCATGTTAGTCCTTTACGCTGCAGCCTTCCTCCCTGTTCGCCCTCTCGCTCGCTCTCTCTCTCTCTCACTCACACACACACATACACACACTCACTCCCTCCCTCCCTGCGCTCGAGCGCCAGTTCAGGAAATGCGCAAAACACGTCAGATGATTCAAGCCGCGCCGCGTCCACTCTGCACCGGATGGGGGAGCGTGTGTGTGTGTACAGACAGAGGAGCAGCAGCGTGGGGAAACAGAGGGAGGCACCCGAGGGCTGGATTACATGAGTCTGTTGAGTTCATTAATGGACCAAATAATGTCTACAATGTGTCTGTAAAATGAAGGGTTAATGGTAGTGTAAACAAAAGTAATTTAGTTTTATTTTGGACTATTTTGGACATGCTACAAATATATTTTTTCCTTGGATGTAATTTTCTTACTGCATAACTATAATTAAAATTTGATAAGGGCCCATACTGACTGTTTCAGTCACAATAGAGTTTCATTTGTTAAATGAACTAAAATGTAAATGTAACATAGGCGTTCTATTGCTGCAGGCAGATTATTACAAGGGGTATTGTAAACTATGAGATATTATACAATTTCAAAAGCGGCTGAAGTTACAGGAAAAAGGTTATTTTTTGCCAGTTGTGTAAAAAGAAATGTTAATGAACTTTGAGTCATTTTATTTAATCAATATTAAATAAAATAATAATAATCTTTTAATAGTCTTTAATAAATAAAGGGGTGAATCACATTTGACCTGTGGATCACATGTGGGTGCAATTTCTTATGTCAATAGGAAGATTAAGAACCATGTAAGTCAGTGGGGCCTCTCTCTCTCTCTCTCAGTCACTTGCATTTGCAAATTGTCACATGCTTCTTGACTTTGATAATGACTACATCTGGGACTTATTCCAAATCAAAACATTTCGGTTGCATATCTATCCTGTATAACAAAATTATAGGGAGGAATTGTATCACAAAGCAACACTTATTTGAAAATACATTTACTCATGTGGCCAGAATGTATATGATAGAGGCTACAAGAGATGTTTGAAAATAGAAAGTGTTCTACTTGTGTAATTTAGTGAACTCTAGTGGCGGACAACAGTGCTGCACAGGTAGCATTACAGGAATTATTCATGCAAGCAAAGAGAAAGCACAACAGGATGTTCAAGTTGACAAATGGCATGAAACTAAACAAACCAAACAATTTAAAAGGAATTAAAGGAATATTGAGTTATAGCAAAGAGATAGGACAGTATTTGACTCAGTCATCATGCATGCAATGAGAACATTATTCCAGTAGATAGCACTGTAGGTTCAGTTACAGTTTACCAAGTTTTTACGCGTACGCTAGGAAATGCGAAAAATTCGGACTGAAAATTCGGGCTGCGAAAATTGACGTCACGCGCACTGAAAAAAAATGGTACAAAGTTGTACCCTTTCAAAAGGTACACCTTTGTTCCTTAGGCTGTTTACTCATAAAGGGTGCATAGCCTACATTAAATGTACACGCATTATGTACATAGTACTTTAATGGTAAATATCAATATCTTTTGAAAAGGTAGAATACTGTTCCAGTAGCTTTGTACCTTTTATTTAGTGTGCGTGACAAATTTTCGCAGCCCGAATTTTCGAAGAGTTATGGTCAGCATACCCACTCCTGCCAAAGTATAACTATTTGTTTCAGGATTTTATGTGCATTCACAGCCATATGATCTTATCAACACCTCAACTGATCCCTTCAATAGTTTTTCGTTTTATGCTTTATGCTTGCCAAAAATGTAGTCATAAGCAGGCTACTTTTGAATGACTGTCAATGGAGAAAAACATTTTATTCTGGATAGAGAGAAATTCTACTCATAAAGCGTATACTGTGCACATTTACCACTACTTTTCAGTGTTACTGGACAACTGTTTGTGGACAATGCCTCGCCTTTATTTGAATAATTGTTTTCCGTGCCACTCTTTTATTGTGGTATAGTGATGGCACGTTTAAACAAACTGTGGTTGCTTGCTTTACATGTTAATCAGTTTTTCACAGAAAAACTGCCCAATAAGACAGTTTTTTTTGTGTAAGGCAGTCATGCCATACTAGCCAAACTCCATTGGGTTGCACGCTCTGCCCCAGGGGTGTCCAAACTCGGTCCTGGAGGGCCAGTGTCCTGCAGAGTTTAGCTCCAACTTGCCTCAACAAACCTGCCTGGAAGTTTCTAGTATGCCTAGTAAGACCTTGATTAGCTGGTTCAGGTGTGTTGGTTGGAGCTAAATTCTGCAGGTCACCGCCCCTCCAGGACTGAGTTTGTACACCCCTGCTCTGCCCTATAGGGCTGCATTACTATTCCAGCCATGCAGGGGGTAGTGTTGTGTTTATTTAGACTGACTGGGCTCAGACTCCAGAAGGAAGATTAGAAATGCCTATTGAGATCTTATTCATTCGAACATAAATGCACGGAGAAATGGATGATACTCTGTTGTGTTTGTTTATGACTGCCATGAACATGGGAACATGCAATCATTTCCTTTAAAAAAAAAAAAAATCAAGCAGCACAGCGTGTTAGATCTGCATGTTACAACAGATTGAGCACTTTTGATTGCTTCTTTTGAGGTATTTGTGCATTTTATGTCTCAATTTTTAGATGTCCGGTGAATTAAAAAAATTATAGCTATAGATATGATTACATTTTTTAAACAATTTAAATGTTTCTGAATTATGCATCCATACAACTTTATGAAAACAACATAAAATCATAAATTAATAATCATAAATTATTAGAAGAATCAGGTTAATAGTCATAAATTAATAATAATTGATTAAAAAGAGAGAGATATGTTTCAGTACAAAAGCTGGGTGAAGCTGAAGTCTCCATTTTTTCTTTCAGATAACAAAGATGCATTCTGCAAGTTTGAAATGTTCCAGAAGAGAGATAATCTTGCTTTAATTATATTCTGCCATAATCATACCCATACGGTCACCCTGATTAGCACATGCTAGTGCACAATATGGGACTTCACTGCTGCTTTCCTCTGTTGTTCTGTTTTGGGTTTGTAACATATACTCACTATACTTTGTATTCAAGCAAAAATGAAACTAATTTTATCCTGTGTTGCTGTGGGATCGAGATGTACCAGAGTATTGAGTGTCAGACTGTAAAAGAAAACACAAGGAATTAGTTTGATCAAAAGGAATTATTGTCTTGAAAGCTTGATTAACGTTTCAATCTGACATGTTATATTACGCCGGTCATGTTTAGGAGCATTAGCTCTGAAAGTTGATTGGCAAACAGGTTCTTATAATTCCAGCCACAGACTTATTAAAAGGTGCAAGATCTTGCTCTTTAAAGCTCTCAATAAAGTCTGAGACCTCGGATGGCATTAGTTCCTCTCTGCTTAAGGAGCACAAAGGTGTATTGATTTGGTTAATTCCAACCATTGTGAGGGAAAGGTGGTCTCGCTCTTAGATTCAGCTGCACAGGAGTGTGTGGCCCTTTCACAGCACACTCCTTTCTCCTCCTGTCAGGTGAGCAAACCTGCTATCACACAGGTTTCCACTGTGGAAAGGTCAGGGGAACCCAAGGCCAAGAGAAAGGTCACGTACTTGGATTACTCCATGCGTCCAATCAATTGAATTCAAACCAACATCAATGTTAGCATGTACTTATCTTGTTGGCTGCATCCCATGTAAAACAGGTGCTCACCTGTTTAGTTAGATGGTTATTATCAGAGTGCACCACAAAGCAGCATACAAGCTGTCTCTGAATCTGCATATATAAACAAAAAGACAGAATCAAAATATTAACTTAAAAGTACTTTGCAGAAACAATGTTATAAAATATTTCGAAATATCAAATTGTGACTATAGAAACAGCAATGTAAACTTTTAAATTAAAATGATTAAAGGGGTCATATGATGCGATTTCATTTTTTCCTTTCTCTTTGGAGTGTTACAAGCTCTTGGTGCATAAAGAAGATCTGTAAATTTGCAAAGACTAAAGTCTCAAATCCAAAGAGATATTCTTTATAAAAGTTAAGAGTCATCTTTTTAGCAGCATCATATGACCCCTTTAATTAAAAATACTCCAAGTAATACATATTAACTGCAAGTCAGTTATTGCGTTATTTTGCTTACTGTTTGACAGCACAATGTTTCTCAGCGCACACACTAGAGACCTGTTGTACCTTAGCAACTGTTGCCTGTTGGTGGATTATGTTTAACCAAATCAAGTTGGTTTAAGAGGGGTGTGGGGCCGTGTGGAGCCTGTAAGTTGATGTGCATGCCCTTAAGGGAAGTGTCATTTTCTGGATTTGAACAATGGTGGTATAACATTGCATTGTAACATTAGTGAGAGGATGTGCCTGCGGCATACACTGTAAACCTATACACCCCAAACTCTTCCAGTGAATTACTGAGGACTCATTTCATTCCAACTGACTAAGCCAAAAATACCTTCTTTATGTGTTCATGGATGTATGAGTGTATATTGCTATGGGCGTGTGTACCACTATACAAAATCCTGTGATTTAAATGAATATTATGAGTATATTGTCTCACCAACGCTTGCGTGTAATTAGGCCACTAAGTAAAGCAGCAGACCCTTTGTCACAAACTAACACAACTATGAACCATGAGTCCAGCCATGCAAATGTATTTGCATTAAAAATCCCCTGTTAGGCAAAAAAAAGAAGGAAAATGAGAGGTAAAAGGACCCATATAGTGCATTTAAAATTCATAATTATTTATTTTTATAATTATGCTAACATTCATAAAAAAAAACTTTAGGCTAATGGAAGTCTCACGTTTACTTTAAAGTAATTTAGATGGACAGATGTTACAGTTGTATGAAAAGGGAAAGCTGAGTGGGACACAACGGTTTACATACAGTATTAGATACGCTACTGTATGAATGAGCAGTTGATGTCAATCCCCTTTTATGTTCTCATGCTAGTAGAGACGTTCCCGGGAGTATTTCTCCAAATAATTCTTCCCATAGGGTTTTTTTTTTTTAAAGACCTTGTTTAAAAGTTATAAAGTTATAAACCATGAACCAAAACAACCAGCTGCAAGGTGGTTCACAACATTACAAACATTGATTTGAAGCTAAAAGTATTTCAAAATCTGACAAAAAGACT